GGTTTGTTGAATATGCTATAATTTAACTTGCTAAATCATCAACTAGTTCTTGTAAACAGGAATAGCTTGGTTCATGAAACATGTTAAGCCAAAACAAAACAAGCTATATTATCTGATAAGTTAGATGCAAGTAGATCATTTGAGTGTTACCTCTCCATGCTGCCACATAGTGGTCATCCTGATTTTTGTAATCTGGAGCTGTTAGCCCTACACTTGGGGTCTTTCTATTTTGGTTGTGCTTGTTGAGAACCAAAATAAATTGTGACAAGCTTTCCATCAGGTTCTAGGGAACAAGACACACAGGAGGAAAGGAGATACACCCCTACAGAGTCCATTCCCAGCAATTCGGGAAAAGTTTAAATTGAGTATTACTCTATTATATTGATGTTGTTTTTCATTGTATTCCTGTTGATTTTATGCTTATTGTACCTTGCCCAAAGTCTAACAGTTGAGTCAGGTTACAAATATTGTTACATTGATCAATAAAAGCATCCCATTCCTTGACAATCAGGGCCAGCAGAAACACTTGCAGAGCCTCCCACATGTGTCCTGCAAACTTTAGAGCTGTCTAATGGAGGCCCTATTCTGCCTTTCCTCAGCCAGCCTTTGGGGAGGTTCAGAATATGAAATAACCATTCCCTGCTGTGACAGCACATTTTAATATTAAAATAGGCTGCACGTTATTATACCCTGCATAGTTATAAGTTAAAATAAAAAGGCAGAACCCTTAATACTGCTTCCCCATGAAATGTTGGTTTCATGTTATCTCTTTCTGGAAAGAGGAGCCTTAACACCTCCACAACTACTTTGATAGCAAACAGGAAGAAATCCACAAAGAAAGATGCTGTTTCAATCCTTGTCTCATCCTTATAAAATGCGACAGCTTCAATTAAATTCAAAATATTTTTGTTCAGGACAATGTGTGATGTGCCTTTGAGAAAAGAAACTGATGACCAGCTTCAACATTAACCATTTCTTTGTTGCCCACTTCTTAGTTAAGGCAGCTTTTAAAGCAGCCACAAGTTTTTTCCAGCTTGTGGAAGCTTTTCCAGCTTACACAGAAGCCTGAAAGATGGCAGGCTGTTTTAATGAATAGCAGAGAGGGGATTCTTACCAGTTTTGCAGGGTCATGAACCCCTAAATAATAGGGAAACAGAAGTGGAGATCAGCAGCTGCTGGAGGAATTAAACGTTTTCTGGTTGCGTTGAATTTGAAGACACAAATATTTAACTAGATTTCCATTTTGTGTCTTCATCTCATCTCACTGAATCCATCGATACCAAATCAGAACATCAAGAGTTCTTTTTTTTCGTCTCTGCCTGCTAACATTTATCCCATCCTGCTACCCTCTAAAAGCTGCTGTAAGCTGGATGCCATTCCTTAGTTGTTCTATGCGTATTTTAAAAGTACGTGCATTTGCTGGGGAAAGTTACCTTTGGACTTTTTTTATCCTCACATACAACTGCCAGACACACAAAAACCCCTGTACTGCCTTGGAAAATAGACTGAAATAGATAAAGGGATAGATATCTCACCCTGTCAAACAAATGTATGTTTACACACATACACATTCAGACACAAAACTGATACAACACAAGGTAACATTATAATTAAAGAGAAAAAGAAAAAAGCCATGGCAATGTTTATCTTAAATAAAGCAATTCCAAAAAATGTGACCAGCTGGCTTGAAAGCCCTCTTTATTGCCCCCTTATTGAAGAAAATCTAGAAATTGAGCAACAAAACATAATTGTGCTGCAATTAAGGTACAACTATGTTGTGTAATCATTCTTTGGCTATTTCCTCATATGCATAAAGTCTACATTTAGCATTCAAAGCAGATTTTTGCAGACCTGTACCTTCTCCTTATTCTTCCTTTTTGTCCAATCAGGCGTGAACTTTCTCCATTTGGGATAAAGGTCAGCATTGTTGAGCCTGGTGCTTTCAATACATGCATTCTCCAACTTACATTAGACAGCTTCCAGAAATCATGGAACAAAACGCTTTCTGAAACCAAAGAAGTTTATGGGCAGCTATTCTTTGATGACTGTGAGTTGAAATTTAGCAAACTGGGTTGCAGATTGCATACTGTATATGTTTGGTTGGGGGTGGGTGTACCAGAAATGCAGAACCCACAACAGCTCAAAAATCATGGAAGGCTTAGAAAATATCTATGTCAGAAAACTAGATAAGAAGCACGTTGCCTGCCTTAAATGAGAAAACAAGGGAGTAATGTGAAACCTGACTCCACATAGCTAATTATAAGGCATTGGGATGTCTGACCATGGTTTATAGCAGTCTTTTACAAGCTAGTGCTATCCCCATCTCTTCAGCCAGAACTCTCTTCTTGAATAATTGTGGATAGAAATGACACCAGGTCAGGGAAGGCTTGGTCAGAGGCTGGCTATCAAGGAGCAGTTGGTTCCTTGAACTATCAAAACATTCAAATTGCTAGCAGGTAGTTGTAGAACTAATTTTTTCTTTTCTTCATATGTCTTTTGCACAGTTTTGAAGTCCTTACACAGACTTATGAAATCTAGCAACAAGAACCTCTGCTTGGTCACTGACTGCCTAGAACATGCCCTGACATCCCGCTACCCTCGTGCTCGCTACAGTGGTGGCTGGGATGCCAAACTCTTCTACATTCCATTGTCTTACTTGCCAACCTCGGTAGCAGACTACATGGTGACCTACTTTTGGCCAAAACCAGCACAGGCGGTGTCAGGATGAATCAACAAGCCACAGCTTCCTGTTCAAGGTTTAATATAATGCAGAATCATCAATATCTGGAAAGAGAGCCGATAATGTTTCATCAGCTCTGAACTGTTGGGTCATGTAGCTTAAGCTGTTTTGCAGTGCTAATTGAACTCAGTGGGTCTTCTAGAAATTGCAACAGGAGGTGTACTTTTACCCTTTTCTGGAGTTGTACAGCCTGGCCTAGAAAGGGTCCTAAATGATATCAGAATCCTAGAAAAGCAATAAACCACCACAGATTTCCCATGAATTTTTTTTTTTATCAGTGTTTTTGCTTGCAAAAATGGATTTAAAGGAAGCTTGGGAAAATATTTTCAGGAATGAAACTGTATTTGAAATGATAAGAATGAATTGTATAAGATGTTGTAATCCTAAGTAGTAAGGATGGCAGCAGAACCTCCTTACTGTATGGAATAAAAAGTGGATTTTGTCCTGCAATCTTCTTCAGACAACATCCTCCAAACATGCAGGATCAAACAACCATCATCCCTGTCCATTGGGTGGGCTGATAGGATTTATTGTCTAGAGGACATCCAGTCGGAAGAGGCTAAAATAGAGAGCGCTTGATGGATTAGCTTACATATCGGAGAGCAGCATGAGAACAACATCTTTCATAAAAAATGCTATAAAATAATGTCTTGATGCCACTGACCCTCATAAAGTTTTAAGCAAAAATATTGTCTAGGGAATAACAGCAGAATGATCAGATCAGTACGGCTTGATGCTTTTATAGCAGGAATCCCCACCAATATAAATGTTTTACAGACCCATATTAGATAAGTTCATGACAGTCTCTAAGTATTGATCTTAATATATCCAGTAATATGTTTTTTAAAAAAACTGGCTCCCAACCAAGAAGTTTAAATAGCACAAGATTCTTAACAGCCTTGTATTGGAAGTCTGCGACGCCACCTGGAAGAAACATTCATTTGGAGATGCAGGTTCAGTAAGGGATTGTGATGCCTCATCTTCTCCCATGTCTCCTCCAGATGCAATCCGCCCCCCCCCCCCGTGTGGCAGCTGGGAGGAGTGCTACAGGTGCTCTCTTCCTGAGAGATCAGGAACCAGAGGATTGCCTTCTCAGCAGCAGCCAACTCACCCTGGAACACTTTGCCATCTGGTCATACTTAGGAAGGCTGTAAAGATGGTGCTGTTCCTGCAAGGCCTTCTGATGTGAGGAGCCCCAATTAGGCAAGTAGCAGTGGTGGGGTTTTAATTGTGGTTTTAACTGATTGTAGTAGGAATTATGTTTTTATCATTTTAAGCTGCCTAGAGTCTTGCAAGTAGGTGGCATGCATATGACTACAAATATATTACTGTTAGAAGCTGTCTTGTATTATGTACTGGTAGTGAGCAAATGGCTTGTTTGCACAACACACAAGTCAAAATGTTGTTGCTTGGTTTAGCATATTTTATGAATTAGCCCTGGGGCTTGTTTCAATCTAATCTACCATATACATTTTCTGTTTAAAGCTTTAGTATGAATCTCTTCATTATAGTCTACAAGTAGAAGTCATAAAAGAATGCCACCCTTTCATACTTGAGTCCCAACAGTTGAAGCAAATGCTTAAAGTACATAGCAGTATTTACATCGTGGCCCATGAGTGTCCTCAGGGGGAAGAGGGGAACAAATGGTGATGTGCATAACTACATCATTGCCTGAGAGCTGCAACGCTGTACTTGTGTCAGAAATTGGGACACAAATATCTAAGGGTGACATTTGCATGTTAATGCCCTTGTGTTTATGTCGTTATTTTTGCATCATCATGGTTTGCTGTGGATGTTGCTGTGAAGGAGAGACAGTGATAGTGGCTTTCATAGGATTTGTTTAAAAGGGTTCTTTTCTTACTATTCTGTTTATGCAATCTAGCCTCCATAGTGTGATGGAGGACTTGGATGAGGAGGTTCAAGGTCATGGGGAGAATCCTCAGCCCACAGCATGAGTGTGCGAAAGCAAAGAGGATGAGACTGGCACCACCCTAAGGAATTCATATGATGTCAGGTTCAGCCCAAGTAATTCCACAGGACGGTTATGGAATTACTCAGTTTCTTTATTAGCTTACACCTGCTAGATGGAATCTCACCAGACTAATTCTCCCAAAGTCTGCAACTAAACACTACGAATTCCTTAGGGTGACTCAGTTTCTTTATTAGCTTACACCTGCTAGATGGAATCTCACCAGACTAATTCTCCCAAAGTCTGCAACTAAACACTACGAATTCCTTAGGGTGGTGCCAGTCTCATCCTCTTTGCTTTCACCTGCTCAGGCTGTGGGCTGAGGAAATGCTTCTCTCCATGACCTTGAACCTCCTCATCCAAGTCCTCCATCACAATAGCTAGTAATTTTTATGCATTTAACACCATTTATAGTATGGGGCATAGTATGGTAAAATATTAAGTTAACTTCATTTGTTGGAACATGCAACAGAGACAGAGGGTATTGTTATATGTGAGTTAGAGTAGAATCTCAGATTTGTCAATGTTGAGATTATGCTTATAACTGGAGTGCTGCTCTATGTTTAAGTTCATAAATGTATTTCTTTGAGGCTCTCATGTAACATCACGAAGAATTAAATTTTTATTATTGTGTCAGTCTGTGTCAGTCAAACTAATAGTTACTGACTAAATATTTTATATACAAATTCGTTTCTTAATGAGATGGGCGGTGACAAACTTGATATATAAATAAAAAATTTAAAAGCCCTGGTGATGCTGGATTGATTTCAAATTTATTTCTGAGCTAGTACTGATACAGAGACATCCAGGAATACGCCAGGTCTCAATGAGAGGATGCCCAGCAAACAGAAACAGCCTGCAACAAAGACCAGAATGTTGTTTATTCAAAGGCTGATCAATGTAATCAAGTCGGGCATCGTGGAGAGTGAGAAGAGAATGGAGGCAAAAGACACACGCAAATGTATCAATGGAAGTTAAACCTGCCAGTTATGCCGTTCTGCAAAGAGGCCAACCCACTGTTTCAAGGCCTTTGGAGGGTTGCTTTCCTATTGCCACTGTGGTAGTGTTACTTAAATCACCTGTTCCTTTCATCAAATAGGTCAATTTGACAGAGATATGAAAATGTTTTCTCACGGCCTGCATTTCTACAGCGTGGTGTAAAGCTAAAGAGAAAATATGGTGGGGGATGAATAGTTGGGATGAGCAGGGCACCCTGATTTGCATGATTTTTGTAAGGAAACCCTGGGTAGGAAGTTGAAAAGGGAAAGTAATGGAGAAAAAGAAGGCTTTGTGGGAGGCACCATTGGGAGATACAAGCCTTTTGACCACTAGGGCAAATGGCAAAGGCAGGAGAGGAAGGAAGGGTCTGTCTCTCACCTAAGTACTTGTTAAATAAATGAGAGGTGTGTTTAAGAGACAAAACGAAGTGTCTCCCCGCCATTCTCTCTTCAAGATGTAGTCTAAATATAGAAGTGAATCTTTCCTATCCCAGGCATCTCTTAATAATTTTTTTTTATTGTAAATGGAATGAATGTCTCTTAGCATTCATTGATAGGTGAGCTGAGCCTCTTTGCTGCATCCATGGCAACAGCATTATGATCATTTTTCTTTCTGAATGGGACCTGCTGCGACTTAATTACCTGGGATTCTTGCAGCACTCTGCATATGCTCAGGAGCACGAGGGCTCCTGCTAAATTCAAATCTCCAGCAGTGTTACTGAAGAACCATTTCTGATCCTGTGGTCTGAGGATAATCTTGTGGCTTGAAGAGGCATTGGTCTTTGCCGGAAGGAGTTGTTCCCTTCAACAGAAGACACGTCTCTCGCTGTTGTTTCTGGCCAGCTACAAATGCAGCCTAGGAGCAGTGGCAAAGCCTCCCTGCTGCTGCCCCTGCTGCTTCCTGAGTCTTCCCCGCAGTGTATCCCAAGTTCTTGCAGCCAAGACCTGCTCCATGGCACCCGACTGCTGGATTCCAATGGCTGCTTCTCTTGCCTTCAAGTACAGCAGCCACTCTACAGGCATCTGAGAAAATCAAGGTAATCAAGCAGTGGGTTTGTGAGCACCTAGAAATGAACAAGGCGATTACTAGAAGCCAGCATGAGTTTGTTAAGAGCAGGTCATGCCAAACTCATCTTACTGCCTTCTTTGATAAAGTGACTACATTAGTGGACTAAGGAAATGCTGTGGACATAGTCTACTTAGATTTTAGTAAGGCATTTGATAAAGTAGACCGCAGCCTACTTCTTGGTAAGACAGAACAAGGTGGGATAGACAGTACCACTGCCAGGTGGATTTACAGTTGGCTGACCAACCGCACTCAGCGTGTGGTCCTTAATGGAACTACATCTACATGGAGGGAAGCATGCAGTGGGGTAGCCTGGAACAGGGGACATTGTATGTTCAGGGCAAATTCCAGAGAACATATCAGTGCTGCCCACCTCCCCCTCAGATACCTGAGTGCTTATAGTGCAGTGGGGTAGGCATGGTTATGGGGCAGCTGTTCTGAACTGGGAAGCCAAGTCAGTGGAGGCCAAGACCAATCCACATCTTTATCTGGCTAGAACAGTAGCCTGTAGTCACACTGAAGTTTGCCATGCTGCTTTTTGTGTGCTCAGTGATGATGAGGTTGTGCTGCCTATCTGACCTCCTGCACTGTGTTCTCTGTGGCCCCCTAAATCCAGAAGCATTGTTTAGCAAATCACCCTGGTTTCTGCTCTGCTTCTTGCCTGCAGACACAGTCCTTGCTCTCTTTAATGGAGGACGGTCAGCCTCTCTCTCAAGAAGTACCAGTACTATTGCACTTGTTCCCATGATCCCTGTGCTCTTTCTCCTGCCCTACATCTAACCCTTGTTCCCAGGGATCTCTGTGCTCTTTCTCCTGCCCTACATCTAACCCTGAAAAAAAACCCATGAATAAATTCAGTCCTGTAGACCTAGCTGGCATGCATGCTGTGAGAAACTATCACTGGGATTCAAGTAGGCATGCCCTACCTGGATACGGGCCTGTCTCCATGCTTGGGATCAATTCTGGCTCATCCAGTGAGCAGCAGCTTCCTGGTCTTTGCATTTTTGTCCATTCTTTATGATGATCTGCTGAGCTACCAGGGGGAGAGGGCATGCCTGCAGCAGCCTAAGGGGGCCAGTAGGACTGAACAGATCCTAGCCCCTGACCATCATCCTCAGCAGTATTAGGGAAGCATTGTGGTTTGTTTCTAAGCAAGACTTGTGTCAGGAGAATAGGGAAAACAGTCCTTCTACAAAGACCTGAATGCAACTTTAGGCTGCCTCTGTAGTGGGCTGGAGATGAAAAGAGGGCGATGTTAAGATGATGTTTCTTTTTTTTTTAAAGTTTTTTATTTTTTACAACAAACACAAACATACATAAACAAACAT